CACGATCTCAGAAAAATCAATGCGGTGATCGAGAACATGGGCCCACTCCAGCCTGGCCTGCCCAACCTGTCCATGATCCCCAGAGACTGGCCTCTTATCATCCTAGATCTGAAAGACTGTTTCTTCAACATCCCACTGCATCCAGATGATGCTCCTCGTTTTGCCTTCTCCGTCCCGAGTACGAACTTACAAGAACCGCTTCAAAGGTATCATTGGCTTTCCCTTCCACAAGGAATGAAAAACTCGCCTACTATCTGCCAATATTTCGTGGCCCGCGCGCTGATTCCAGTCCGCCAGAAGTTCCCACAATCCGTTATCCTCCACTACATGGATGATCTGCTTATTGCAGCACCAACGCAAGAACAGATGAGAGGGACTTGTAGTTATGCTGTTGCTGAAGTCAAAAAAGCTGGACTTGTGATCTCTGAATCAAAAATACAGGAAACTGCCCCCTGGAAGTATTTAGGCTGGAAACTGACAGATCAGTCTATTCCCCCCCAAAAGATACAGATCCGAACCGATGTCCGCACTCTGCAGGACTTACAACAGATTTTAGGGGAAATTAATTGGGTTAGGCCTGTCTTAGGAATAACTGCTGACGAACTTGCTCCACTTTTTGATTTGTTAAAAGGGGACAATGAGCTCAGATCCCCCAGGTCTCTCACTCCAGAGGCTTGTAAGGCCCTAGAACACATCACTGATGCTCTGCAGAACAGGCAGGCACATCGCTATGTTCCTGGTCAACCCTTTTCCCTTGCAATCTTGGGGGAAAAGTTGAGGCTGTGTGGTCTCATCTTCCAATGGGACTCTTCTCTCAAAGATCCACTGTTAATAATTGAATGGGTTTTTATTTCCTACAGGTCACCAAAGACAATCCTCACACCTTTAGAAATGATGTCACAGATCATCATCAAAGGCAGAGCAAGGCTCCTTTCAGTAGCAGGCCGTGAGTTTGAAACTATTTACTTGCCCATGAAAAAAACCTATTTTGACTGGGCTATGCAAAAATCGGAGGACCTGCTGTATGCCTTGCTGGACTTCCCAGGCGCCTGCTCAATTCACTACCCAGCACACAAAATGATCAAAGCCAAATTATGTTATAAGGAAAAGCCCATGATCAGTGAAGAACCTTTAAACGCAATCACTATCTTCACTGATGGGTCAGGGCGAACACACAATTCAGTTGTTACATGGCAAAATACAAATACTAAAACCTGGGAACAAGATGTCCAAAATGTTGAAGGTTCTTCTCAAATTGTTGAATTGGCCGCAGTTGTAAGAGCATTTCAGCTCTTTCCGGAACCTTTTAACCTGATCACAGATTCGGCTTATGTGGCTAATGTCATTAAGAGAATTGAGGGATCCGTTCTAAAGGATGTGAACAACAACAATTTGTGTCTTTGGCTCACCTGTTTATATCGCATTTTATCACACAGAGCTAATCCTTACTTTATCTCTCATATCAGGGCTCACTCTGGTCTTCCAGGATTCATGGCAGAGGGAAATGCACGTGCTGATGCACTGGCATCAGCAGCGTCTGATGAGGAAGGTTCAGCAGGTGTTGAAAAATCCACCTCAGTCCTTGCTGCAACCACCTTGCACAACACTATTGAACAGGCCAAATTGAGCCATGCATTTTTTCACCAAAACGCACAGGCCATCAAACGAGACTTTCACATTTCCCTAGAGCAAGCACAAAATATTGTACGAGCTTGCCCAAACTGTCAGCATGTGCAACCCCTCCCCCCTTCAGCAGCCACCAACCCGCGAGGGCTGGAGAGCCTACAGAAATGGCAGACAGATATCACTAAATATCCATCTTTTGGGAAATTTAAAAACATCCATGTCTCTATTGATACATTTTCAAATGCAATTTTTGCCTCTGTACATACAGGGGAAACAGCCAAGCATGTCTGCCAGCATTTCTCACAAGCCTTCTCCTATTTAGGTGTTCCCCAAGAGATTAAAACTGATAATGGTCCCTCATATACCTCACAAGAATTAGCCACATTCCTGAATGATTGGGGTGTTCGCCATACATTTGGCATCCCTCACTCTCCCACGAGTCAGGGAATGGTAGAGAGAACACACCAAACCCTAAAACGCATTTTAAATCAACAGAAAGGAGGAGTAGATCAGGCTACACCTCTGTCATGGTTTGACGCTGGCACAATACCAGCGCCCCATGAAAATACAACTTACCAATCAAATGCTGTGAAATGTGATCAAAAACAGAGCAAAGCAGGCCAAACTTAATAACAAAGGAAAAACTTTATTACACTACTACTACTACTACTATAAAAGAAAAAAAAGGAAAGAAAAAAAAACACACAAAATTCGAAATGAAAACCTTCCAAAACATTTCTCCTCCCTCCACCCAACTCCACCAAACCCCAGCGAGACCCATTTGGATCCTTAATCAAGTTTTCACCCTTCAATATAATCAATACTGAGTCCATCGGGGAAGAGAGGAGTCCCCCTTGCACCACAGACCCCCAGGAAACACAGCTGCCACCTCTTGTGTTTCCAATGTCACACGTGGTACCGCCCAGACACACCGGCCAGTGTGACATTCTCCTCTCCATGTCACAGTGCTCTCACCACCGGGCATGGACAGAGACTGCTTATAGGGCCCCTTTAAGGATGCTTTGCCAAGGACCACCAGGAACAACAGTCCAGTATCACAATTCGGGACTAGAGTCCCCCCCATTTTCCCCTGGGGCCGAGGGTCCAAAAGACAGAGATCGCCTTCTCTTCTTCCCTGAAGATGGAGGGCATCCTCACACCCTCCTCAGCTCTCTCTCTGTCCACTCCAAAACTGGTAGTTGCTGAAGAAGGTCTCTTGGCTCACCAATGCATCCCCCTAAAATGCAGTCCCTCTTGAAAGAAAGAGTGGTTCAGTCTATGGTAAACAAGCAGAGTCCAGCCAAAAGCCACTCTATCATCTCCCCCCAACCTTCTTCTCTGAACATCTAAGGTTTCAGGCTGTCTCTCTTTTCTTCAAATTCAGGAGGAGTAATATTTCATAAAGCCTTCATTTCACAGGAAAGGGTTAAAAGTCCCGGACTCCCCGGATGGCTGCAATCTCAGCCCAGGACTCTTTCTCCAGTCTCCCATGCTGGGCATCTTCTCCCCCCCCTTCTCCTTCTCCTCCGCCGGCAAACTCCTAGGTGTCTGCTGGCTCTCTATCTCTTTTCCCTCTAGCTTAGGGGAGGGGGAACAAAAACATCCCAGATGTTCTCCACCCTTCCATCCGCAGGAGCTGGCCCAGCTCGGTTCCCGATCCTTCATCCCCTGGCCTACCTGTGCAGGCCGCATGGCTCCCCTCCCCCACCCAGCCCGGGCTGGGCAGGGGAGGTCCGTACCATGCGGTGACCGGAATCAAAGAAGGACGAGTCCTCCTGGGAATTCCGCTTTTAACCCCTCTGTGTTCTCAGAGGCGTGTCCACCTTCAATTGGTCACCCCAAGTGTCAGTATCTAAACCTGACCCCTGACTGGAAGGACCTCTTCCTTCCAAAAAAAAAATTCTCTTCCCGTGTCAAACCATGACAACCTCAAAAGAGATTGAGTAAGGCTCTGTATGTTTACAATTTCCTAAATAGCTCTACAGAAGAGCCTGACCCTCCCATCTATAGACACTTTCTGAACAACAAAAAAGCAAAAATTAAGGAACATCCCCCAGTTTTAATAAAAAATTTAGACACAGGGCAAATAGAAGGGCCATACAACCTCATAACATGGGGAAAAGGTTTTGCTTGTGTTTCTACAGGTCAAGGACTTAAGTGGGTCCCAGGAAAGAATGTGAAGCCTTACAATGCACCGAAATCCGCTGGCACCCCCACACCAGACAGTACTTCTGCAAGTACAAGCCAAGAAGCCAGCACCCAGACCTGAACCACGCTGCGTCATCGAGAGAAAAATGGACTTTTTATCGTTTATATGCGTGCATGTTGCCTTTGTTATTCTGTTTCAGTTTTTGTATTGAAGTTTTACTTGTAATTCAACCAAAGACAAATGCCTGGGTAGCTTTAGCCAAGCCTGCAAGCTCTAAGACCACCTATATATCTAACACAAACCCTAACAAACCTTTTTCAACCCGTTTAATTATAAGACCTTTTCCAAAAAATTCTGACAATGCCTCCCTTACTATAATCAGTGATTTGATAACAATTAGGCCATCTCAGCTACACAGTTTACTTAATGGTTTGAGCCTTGCACCTTAGCTAAAGGAACTCTGTAAAATAAGCTTGACTGTTCCAGTAGTAATAAGTATAGTTTTAGTAGCAATACCCTGTACACCTCCAAGTGTGCAGAAAATAGTTGTTAAGTCAATATTTAGTATTTCAAATGGTTCAGTGAAAACAGGGGAGATGTTGGGAAGGGTAGATAAATATGATTAAGAACCACAGTAGTACAGCCAGGACAAATATAACGCCCCCTACTGGCTGGACAATAACCCTCACTTACAGAGGGGTCCAAAAACCAATTGGACTGTTCCATCTCACCCCTCAGAATGTATGGTTCACCCCCACCTGTAACCCTCCCCTGAACCATCAGGTGCCTGTGACCCCATTGGCCCAGGTCCTGTTCCAGCCCACCTTGGAGCCCCACTTGATAAAGGGTCGCCGGGGGGCCGGACGCCCTCTTGGATCTTCCCCTCTCCTCCTGGAGCGTCCTCCGGGAGTCCCTGCTCCCCTCTTTGTCTCTCCCCTCCCCCATCACCTCAGGCCCAGCCACGTGCTGTGTCTAGCAGCTCGAGGCAGGGCCTTTCTGCATCCTGAATAAACCTGATCCCCCAAGAGCAACAACAGAGATCTCGCTTGTATCTGTCCATGGAATACAAAATAAACGTCTTTACAGGGGACCCCATGGGGGAGTGTCTCAGCATGATGGTACCATAGGAGGTCCCAGTAAAATTAGGTGTGTGAGATTGTCAGGAGTGAACCTCAGGGTGGGGGTCCTGGTACAGGAGTCTGGGGGGTTGAGTCTGTGCAGGGGCTCAGGGGGGTCGCCATTCAGATGCCCCCCCCCCCTCGGCTCCTCTCAGGCACCGGACCAGCTGCAGATCCTTGAGGAACAGGGTGACTTGGCGGGCGTGCAGCGAGCACAGGTACGTGTCTTCCAGCAACCGCACGATGAAGGCCTCTGCCGCCTGTGTCCTAAAAGCTGAGGGGGTGTCCCCAAAGCCCCCCAGCATGCTCCAACCCCCACAGCTCTTTCCCAGGCAGAGACCCCCCCCCACAAAACACACACCCAGGGGGAAGGGTTCCTCCAAACCCACCCACGGGTGACTGGGGGGACTGAAACACTCTGTGCCTGTAAATGTGTGAGGGGAGACCAACACCCAGTGACCCATCCCCAGTCCCCAACAGACCTCCGGAATAAGAGACCACCCCCACCACCCAGAGGTCTCTCAGAGGCCTTCTCAACATCCATGGAACCCTGTCCAAGAACCCATAGACCCCGCCCCAGCCAATGGACGCTCTCCTAGACTCCCCCTCAGCTCCCATCACACACACCCAACAAACCTCTCAGCCTCATCCACACACCAAAAGAGACCTTCCTGGACCTCCCCAGCCCCCCAGAGACATCCCCAGCACCCACACCCCCCCCTGCAGCACCCACAGAACCCCCCTTCCCCAACCCCCACATTTCTTCTCAGCACCCATGAGATCCCCCTCATCCCCCTCCCCACCCCCCTAGTTCCCTGGATACCCCAGGAGGACCCATAGGACCCCTCCAGCCCCTCTGTGAACCCCCTTCACCACTCCTGTGCCTTCCAACCCCTACCTCCTGCAGCGCCAGCAGGGCCATGCGCTGCCAGTGGTAATTCACCCCACGGGTGAAGAGTAGGCAGATCTCCTGCACCTGCGGCAGAGAGGGCACGGGGAGGGGGCCACATGGCGGCATCGGGGTCACAGGGAGAGCGGGGACATTGGGACAACATGGAGGGGATATGGGGACATTGGGGACATCCTGGGCTGGGGCCACCACCATGGTGACACCCTGGAGACATGGAGACGCTGCCCTGGGGACATCCCAGGGACCTGGGGACACCCTTGTTGTCACCCTGGAGACACTTTGGGGACACCCCAGGGACAGGAACACAGCCGACAGGAACACCTGAGGATACACTGGGGAGTGTGGATGTGGGAACACCATGATGGGGACACCCTGCAGAGATCCCAGGTGGGAGGCAGGGGTGAAACACCACTCTAGGAACATCTTGGGAACACCCTCAGCCATAGGAACATGTGGACACTCCCCTGGCGACACCCTGATGGGGCAGGTGGGACAGTGCCAGAACGGTGGGAGGGGCACAGGGAACACTCAACCCATGAAGGTGGCAGGACACAAAGATGTCTGGAACCACAGAAGGACATTGGGGGATATGCAAAGATGTTGGGAGAGGACAGGCCCACTATGTCACGAGGACGGGGAGGACAAGAACATGGGGAGGGCTGGAACAGGGTTGAGTGGGGGCCCTGGGGAAAGGGGATGGTCCTGAGAAGTCCCGGGGGTGATCTGGGGTTCTGGGGGGTAACTTGATTGGTCTGTAAGGGGTTGGAGGGTCCCAATGGGTTTTAGGGAGGGGGTCAAGGGGACGTTGGAGGGTTCCAGGATGGATTTCAGGGGGGCCTACTGTTAGGAAAATAAGGCCTTTTTGTTCATAATATAGAGTTTTTACATCCATAAAATAGAATTTTTACTTAGAGTTTTCACTTGTCTGAATATGTTCTCATTTTGCCAGGCATTCCAGTGGGTATCTCTCAAGGACAATTCCGTTACAAACTGTTTTAGGGAGTTAAAACTGATTTAGGGAGTTGATGTTGCTAGGCACCTAAGCACCTAAGCGAGTATCTTTCAAGGACAGTTCCGTTACAGACTTAGCAAAGCATGTACTCTTGTGGAATGCAAGTAAACGTGCCTAGAGATAACATTTCTTGTTTTGAGAGGATTCCCAGATCACAGGGACAACCTTGAGGAAGACTACTGGCCTTCATCCCACGACCACCAAGAGGCAGAAAACGACCACCTAGCAACAGGGTGCACCTGCGCAGAAAAGACACCAGAACGTCACACATCCGGAAGAGAAGACCCAATAAGTTGGGGGGGAACGGGGGACGAAGGTGCGGTAGTTAGAATGACTGCCGCCCAGCGCTGATTTGCTTTCGTTTCCTACCATTAATAAATCTTTTTTAATTGGATTGGAAAGCCTATTGTGCTCGTTCATAACACTACAGTGGATTTGGGGTTGGATTTTAAGGGGTCCAGTGGATTGTTTGAAGAGTCCCGGTGGGTATTTGGGAGAATCCTGCGGGGAGCTGAAGGGTCCCAGAGTGGATTTAAAGGCTCTGGGGGAGTATTCAGGGTCTGAAAGGGTTGATCTGGGGTGTTCTGGGATGGATTTGGGGATCCCAGAAGAGGGGATCCAGAGTGGTTTGGAAGATACCAGACAATGTTGGAGGTTCTAGGTGAAATTGGGGGGGTCCTGGAGGGGTTTGGGGGTCCTAAAGTAGATTTTAAGGGTATCTGAGATGATCTGTGCAGTCCCAGGGGAGTTTGGGAGTCCATGGGGGGTGTTGGGAAGGTTCCGTGGGGGAAATTGGAGTGTCTGGGGATTTTACGGTGCAGGAGTGTTCATTTTGGGATGTGGGGGGTTCTTACCAGGTGGGCGAAGGGGCCGGGGCGCAGCAGCAGGCGGGCGCTGCTCTGATACCTGCGGATCTCCTGCAATGCCCGCTGACCTGGGCGGCGCCCTGCAGGGGCATTGGATAGGGGTCTGTGGGGGCTTTAGCGGATCTGTTTGGCCTGGGGAGCACAGATGGGGGGCTCTGAAGGAACATGGGGGGTATAAGAGATCCATAGGGCCTGGTGGAACACAGGGCTTTATGGGGGGGCTATAGGGGCCTGGGGGACAGGGGAAAGCTGTGGAGGTTATAAGGGATCTGTAAGGTCTGAGGGGACATTGCAGGTATGAGGGATCTATAGAGATCTACAGTGATGGCCAATATAGGGGAGTTATAGGGGACAGGGAGTATGAGGGGTTTTGAGGAACAGGGTGTAGGGGGCTGTAGCAATGTATCTGAACAACTTGGGCCTCAGTGTGCACCAGCCATACCACTTGTAACTGTTCTTACCAGAATTTTCTCAGGAATTCATCAAGGTTACTAAGACATAAACTGTACTAAAATAAGAACGAAGAAGCTGAGAAACAGCGGGATCACAAGAACTAGATAACAGAGAACTGTAGAACACCTGCATGGTAACAAATAATGGAAGCTGAGAAGTGGAGGCAGAGAATGAGGGAACAAGACAAAGGCACCATTCAATTAGTGTGATCTTAGTAGTTTGTAGCATCTATAAAAGTGTGTGCAATGTAAAGAATATATGGCTTCTGCTTGGTCATACTAGTCAGTTGTTCAGGAGTCTTGGTTTACACACAATAGAGAGCTATAGGGGAGAGGAAGTGTGGAGTGACTATAGTGATGGAAGCATATAAGGGTATCTAGGGCACAGGCTGGGGACGGAGGACAACAATGGGGGAGTCCATAGGAGTGCTCTGGAGGGGGGTCTAAAAGGGGCTCGATGTGGGAGGTCCATAGGGGGTGTCTGTAAGGGGAGTCCCCCGCCCCTCACTCACTGCGTGCCCACGGCCAGGGCGATGGGGGGGCTGGGGGAGCGCCACGCTGCCGGGGGGTGGGTTTGGGGCAGGGCATGGCGTGGCCGAGTCCGCCGCAGGGTCAGGGCAAGTCCAGGCGTCTGGCGGGGCTGGAAGAGACCCAACGGCCGGAGAAGGGGGAGTCAGGGTGGACTGAGGTGTCTGGGGCCACTCCCGGGTCCCCCCAAGCCCCTCCTGCCTCTCCGTGCCAGTGACATTACGCCCGGGATCCGCCGCTGCCACCCTGTTCAAACCGCCCGCTGCCCTGTTCAAACCTTCCGCTGCCGCTGCCCTGTTCAAACCTCCCGCTGCCTCCCTGTTCAAATCTCCCGCCGCCGCGGCGCTGTTCGTGACGTCACTTCCTTCCGCGCGCCAATCGGGGTGCGCGACCGCTCTGCGGCGCCGGACTCCGTGACTCGATGGTGCCGCAGCGGACGGGGCTCATTAGCATAAATTTGCATGACCCCGGCCCGGGCATCCCGCGCCTCGGTGCTCCCAGGGTAATCTCTGTTACCATCCCAGTGTGATCCCCGTCAGTCCTAGTGTGGTTCCCGTTGTTCCCGGTCATCTGCGTGGCTCCAGTTACTCCCAGAAGGATCCCAGTACGATTGCAGTCCCCTGCAATAGGATTCTAGTGCTTTCCAGTCACTCCCAGTGCGAGTCCAGTATGATCACAACTGTGAAAAACGCCAATCACTTGGCTTTTAAAATTTTAAAAGTTTAATAATAATAAAATTATTATAAAAATAGTAATACAATTAGAGTAATAAAATTTAGAGGTAGGACAATTACAAGACAATAAAAGGCAAAGAATTATGGACGTGTCCGGATGCTCTCGGACACTAAGTCACGAAAAGCATACCTTGTGAACAAAGGAATAGCCGTAAAAGCATAACCTGTTGTATATTCATATATCTCATACATGATGCATAAATTCCCTGCAAATTAAGAACTTTTCTGGTTTTTGTCAGCTTCTTCCCCTTAATCCTGGTCGTTCCATAAAGATGGAGAGAAGGTGGAAGAATGTTTGTCTTTTCTGAGAGGAGCCAGTAACTCTTTATGGGCCCCAAGTCACTGTCATCTCTGTGCAAAGAGTTTCTTGATTATCTCATCTCTTGCTTGAGCTAGTAAAAAAATCCTACACTGCAGAGTTTCTATTTTAACATTATGTTGTAACCTAAAACTACCTTTAACACACTACTTAAGAGAATTAATACAGCATAACTTTCTAACATTACACATATAATAATCATTGTAACATTTGTGAAAAGCCAGTCATAAAATCTGCATTTTTCACAACAACTACTCCCAGTATGATCCCTGTCCCACCCCCAATGGTCCCAGTCAATTCCTGTCCATACTAGAATGATCCCACTATGATCCCAGTTACTCCCAGTATGATCCCGGTTGCCCCCAGTGTGGTTCCAGTCGCTCCCAGCATGAACCCAGCATGGTCCCAAGCTATCCCCTCCTGTATGATCCTAGTTGTCCCAGTTCTGGTCCCAGTACCCCCAGCATGGTTCCAGCATCTTCCATTTGCTCCCAGTGTGTTTTCAGTTGGCTCCCAACATGGTCCCAGTAGCTTCCTGTGCCTCCCAGTACCCAGTGGGGGTCAGTCAGGGATTACAACTGTTCATGAAACCCTATGGGAGAAGCAGATTGGGGCAGTAGTGAACCCATGGTGGCCCAGGTGGGCATTGGGGTCTCTTTCGGGTATTGCAAGACCTCCAAGTTTACCCTCAGTTTTCCCAGTGGGCCACCACACTCCTCATTTGACCCCATCAAGCCTCCCAGTTGCCCCTAGTTGTCCACCTGGGCCAGATGCTGAACAGGACTGGCCCCAACACTGAGCCCTAGGGAACCCCAGCAGTGCCCAGCCCCAGCTGGCTGTGGCCCCATTCCCACCCTTCCTTGGCCACCAGCCAGATGTTCCCAGCGAGAGGCACCTGTCCCAGCTGCGAGCTGCAGGTGTTCCAGGGGAGGCAGGGAGATGGAGGCAATGCCAAAGGCTTTGCTGAGCTTCAGGCAGACACACCTACACATGTCCAACACCCACTGGGGCCACCTGGGCACAGAAACAGATCAGGTGAGTTAGGCAATACCTGCCTTTCCCAAGCCCTGGCTGTTCCCAGTGCCTGTTTAATGTCTGTGCCATTTGTTCCCCTCAGGGAATCTGTTCCAGGGATGTTCCAACAACAAGGCCTGAAGTTTGCTGGATCCTTCTGGCCCTGGTCTCAGTGGTTCCCAGTCACCTTCAGTATGGTACCGGTCATTCCCTGTATGATCCTAGTCACTCCCACTATGATAACAGTATGATCCCAGTGTGGTCCCAATTGCTCCTATTTACCCCCAGAAAGAATCCCCTTTCTCCCTGTCACTCTCCCTGTCATTCTCTCCATTCAAGGGTTGAATGAAGGTCCAAAACTTCAGATTTGAATTTGCTGTTTCGTGATTCTGACATTCTGATTTACTGATGTTTGATTTTTCAACCTGACCAAACCTCCCTTTTATTTTCTGATTCATTTTCATGCTTTCTCTACAGTAAAATCTGCCAGTCATGGGAAAGCACATGAATGATTCTGTGGAGGCTAACCCAAGATTGCTGAACTCATTTTCATGCATGGCTAAATGCAGGATTGAACCTCATGCTCCAGAAATGAAAGGTTATTGATTTTAGATAATTCTAAAATAATGCTATAGGTGTTGATACAGCTACTCTCAGTCTACTCTAATCCTGTTTTTTTTTGTTGACTCTGCCCTTGTGAAGGCACTGCTTTCTCTCAGTGATTAAAAGAGGAGAGATTTGCTTTCAGTTCTGTGCTGATTCAGCACAGCAAAGAATCAGTACATTAGCAAGGACTGTGACGGAATTTTAAATATTGGTAGAGTGTAGTTTCCCCCCCTCACGCTGACCCCCAAATAATCCGACTAGCTCGGAGATAAGGGACTGTGAGGGGAGGAATATCAGGAGAGGGGAAAGATATTCAAAACAGGCTCTCACCCCAGGGTATGGCTGGAACGGCTCTCTTTATTCTGTGATGTCCATGAGAGAGCGAGGCAAAAAAGAGAAAGAACAGGAAATGCCAGGGTGTCTATATAGGTTTTGGACAGGGTGGGCTTTCCTGGCTCTCCACCAACCCCGTTGGGGCAGGAAGGAGGGGTCCAGGGGTTATCTTGATCAGAGTCACAAGGTCCCGGGGGAAGGGGGGCACAGGGTGCCCATGAGCTCACTGCAGCACCTCCCCCTTATTTGTTAAACAAGGTTGCAGGAATTCACTGGGCTCAATTCAACACTGAGTATGGGTTTCCCACCACCTACAGTTGGTGGCGTAGTCAGGCCTCCTCAGGTTAGCCAACTCTATGTGGTTGACTTCTGAGGTACAAGGTATGAGACCCTTGATAGCTTTGAAAATCAAGTGACGCAGGATCCCGAATGCCAGGGTTACAAGGAACAGAATAACAAGGAGTAACAAAATTGATCTAACAATAGATGTCCACCACCCCGTGAATCCCCAGCCCTTAAACATTCTTTTCAGCATTCGCAGGATGACAACTTGCATGGGATTCATCACAGGGTTGAGTGGGAGGTAGGTTTTCTCTAAAAGGGAAAAACAAACATTTTAAGAACATGTTAAAGTTTCTGTCTCTGCCAGAAGGAATTCACGCTTGGGAACATTCCTCTTCTTCCATCCGGCGGCATCTTCTCTTTGAAGCATCAGCTACTTGCTTCCTGTCCCCTTTTGTCTGACCTGGATTCTTGGGGACAAAAGGTTTCACCCACTTCTGGGGAATCCACCGAGGGCCTGAAGGAGTAGCTATACATGCATAGCCACGACCCCAGGTTGTAAGTTCATTGGGACCCTTGGTGTCCCAAGTTTCTGGATCCCTAATCAAGACCGGGGGATGCTGAGATAATTTGAACTGGTTTCAAATGTTAAAGTGATGTACAACAGGTGGACTCATGTTTTAAAATGAACAGTTCAGAAAATTGATGGTAAACATGGCTTTACAGAGCCTCTCTTGTGGAGACATCCACAGAGCTGAACTGATTTGTTTCTTCAGTACCTGTTTGAGCGTCTGGTGTGCACGCTCGACTACAGCTTGACCTGTGGGGGAGTGGCCAATGCCAGTCTTATGTTCCACTCCCCACTGTTGGAGAAATTCCAGAAACTCCTTAAATATATATGCTGGGCCATTGTCTGTTTTGATCATTTCTGGAACCCCCAATACTGAAAATGCTTGCACTAGGTGTTGTTCGACCTGTGCAGACTTTTGTCCTATAGGAGCAGAGGCATACACTGCACCTGAGAATGTGTCCATGCGTACATGAACACATTCAAGGCGACCAAAACTCTGAATGTGTGTGATGTCTGTCTGCCATACCTCACAGCTGCTAAGGCCTCTGGGGTTTACCCCCATGCCCAATGATGACACGGCCTGGAGCTGGCAATTAGGACAGTTGGTCACAATGGCTCGGGCCTGACTACATGTTAGCTGGAACTGTCGAATCAAACCTGGCACATTCTGATGGTAATTCTGGTGACTCAGCTTTGCCTGTTGGAAAACATCAGGGAGATGTGCTTTTTCGACTGGTGCAGCAAGGGAGTCTGCTTTGCAATTCCCCTCTGCAATCTCACCTGGTAAATCAGTGTGTGACCTCACATGCATCACAAAGAATGGATGCTCTCGGTGGGAGATTAAATAAATCAGCCTTGAGAGCAACCTGAAGAGATGTTCATTTTCTATTTCTTTGAGCACAGCCTGCTCTGCCCTGGACACTATTCCTGCCACGTAGGCAGAGTCTGTCACCAAGTTGAATGGCCCAGAAAACTTCTCAAAAGCTCTCACCACTGCAGCCAGTTCAGCCACCTGGGGGGATCCCTCCACAAGCTCAACATCAGCTTCCCAAAGCTGAGTCTGTGGATTTCTCCAAGTCATCACCGACTTGTGGGAAGCCCCAGAGGCATCCGTGAACACTGTGAGAGCCTTGAGTGCCCTCCGGCTCCTTTTCTTTTGAGGAATAAGGTGGAATTCCTCATTGAACAACTTGTGAGACGG